TCCTGGGGGGATTTGGGGGGGTCCTTGGGGGGGAATTTTGGGGTGTTCTGATCCCATTTTGGTGTTCTTGACGCATTTTTGGGGTCTCTTTTCCCAATTCTGCTGTTTCTCACCCCAATTTCGGCTCCTTTCCCCCAGTGGACAACCTGGACCCGAATTTCCAGAGTGACGCCCAGAGCAAGCGCTCGGCGCTGCACGCGGCGGCGCAGAAGGGACACCTGGAGATCTGCCACCTGCTGCTCCAGGTGAGACACCAGTACAGACCAGTAACACCAGTGACACCAGTGACACCCCAGTACATCCCAGTCACACACCAGTACATCCCAGTACATCCCAGTAACATCCCAGTGCCATCCCAGTACACACCAGTAACACACCAGTGGTACCAATAATATCCCAGCGCCATCCCAGCGGTCACTCAGGGGTCCGTGGTCACTCAGCGGTCACTCAGGGGTCAGTTATTGTCAGTGGTCACTCAGGGGTCACTCAGTGGTCAGGGATGGTCAGTGGTCACTCAGTGGTCACTCAGGGTCACTCAGTGGTCACTCAGGGTCACTCAGGGGTCCGTGGTCACTCAGCGGTCACTCAGTGGTCACTCCAGAGGCCGGAGCCAACATCAACGCCGTGGACAAGCAGCGCCGGGGATGGGTGGGTCAGGGGTGGTCAGGGATGGTCAGTGGTCACTCAGGGGTCAGTGGTCACTCAGGGGTCACTCAGGGGTCAGTGGTCACTCAGGGGTCACTCAGTGGTCACTCAGTGGTCACTCAGTGGTCACTCCGCAGGCCGGAGCCAACATCAACGCCGTGGACAAGCAGTGCTGGGGATGGGTGGGTCAGTGCTGGTCAGTGCTGGTCAGTGGTGGTCAGTGGTCACTCAGTGGTCACTCAGGGGTCAGTGGTCACTCCGCAGGCCGGAGCCAACATCAACGCCGTGGACAAGCAGCGCCGGACGCCGCTGATGGAGGCCGTGGCCAATGACCAGCTGGACACGGCGCGGTACCTGCTGCAGAGAGGGGGGTGCGCCTACAGCCAGGTGAGGGACACACCTGTGTGACGTCATCACACACCTGTGTGACGTCATCACACACCTGTGACATCACACACACCTGTGTGACATCATCACAGACCTGTGTGATGTCATCACACACCTGTGACATCACGTACACCTGTGTGATGTCATCACCCACACGTGTGACTTCATTAAACACACCTGTGTGACGTCATTGAACACACCTGTGTGATGTCGTCACACACCTGTGTGACGTCACCGCCCACCTGTGTGACGTCACTGCCCACCTGTGTGACGTCACAGGAGGAGGACGGCTCCACCTGCCTGCACCATGCGGCCAAGAACGGCAACCTGGAGATGGTGGAGCTGCTGCTGAGCACCGGCCAGGTGGACGTCAACGCCCAGGTGTGCCCGCGGGCAGCTGGGCAGCGTGTCCGGAGTGTCCTGGGAGTGGTCAGTGTGTCCTGGGGATGGCCAGTGTGTCCTGAGTGTCCTGGGAGTGGTCAGTGTGTCCTGAGAGTCCTGGGGATGGTCAGTGTGTTCTGAGTTTGTCCTGAGTGTCCTGGGTGTGTCCTGGTAGTGGTCAGTGGGTCAGGGGTGGTCAGTGGGATGACCAGGGGCTGGTCAGTTGGTCAGGGGTGGTCAGTGACCCCTGAGTGACCCTGAGTGACCCTGAGTGACCCCTGAGTGACCCTGAGTGACCCTGAGTGACCCCCAGGACAGCGGCGGCTGGACGCCGATCATCTGGGCGGCCGAGCACAAACACATCGAGGTCATCCGGCGGCTGCTGACCCGCGGGGCCGACGTCACGCTGACCGACAACGTGAGCACCTGGGCACACCTGGGATACACACCTGGGCACACCTGGGCACAGCTGGGCACACCTGGGGACAGCTGGGCACACCTGGGATACACACCTGGGCACAGCTGGGGACAGCTGGGGACAGCTGGGGACAGCTGGGAGCACCTGGGGACAGCTGGGATACACACCTGGGCACACCTGGGCACAGCTGGGCACACCTGGGCACAGCTGGGCACACCTGGGATACACATCTGGGCACAGCTGGGGACAGCTGGGGACAGCTGGGGACAGCTGGGAGCACCTGGGCACACCTGGGGACAGCTGGGCACACCTGGGGGGGGGGGGGATACACACCTGGGCACACCTGGGCAGGGGGGGGAGCACCCGGGCACAGCTGGGCACAGCTGGGGGGNCCAGTACATCCCAGTACATCCCAGTACGGATCTGCGCTCGGCGCTGCACGCGGTGGCGCAGAAGGGACACCTGGAGATCTGCCACCTGCTGCTCCAGGTGAGACCAGTGACACCAGTAACACACCAGTAACACACCAGTGACACCAGTGACACCAGTGACACCCCAGTGACACCCCAGTACATCCCAGTACATCCCAGTCACACACCAGTACACCCCAGTACATCCCAGTAACATCCCAGTGCCATCCCAGTCACACCAGTAACACACCAGTGGTACCAATAATATCCCAGCGCCATCCCAGCGGTCACTCAGGGGTCCATGGTCACTCAGTGGTCACTCAGGGGTCAGTTATTGTCAGTGGTCACTCAGGGGTCACTCAGTGGTCAGGGATGGTCAGTGGTCACTCAGGGTCACTCAGTGGTCAGTGGTCACTCAGTGGTCACTCGGTGGTCACTCAGGGTCACTCAGTGGTCAGTGGTCACTCAGTGGTCACTCGGTGGTCACTCCAGAGGCTGGAGCCAACATCAACGCTGTGGAGAAGCAGCGCCGGGGATGGGTGGGTCAGTGCTGGTCAGCGGTGGTCAGTGGTCACTCAGTGGTCAGTGGTCACTCAGTGGTCACTCAGGGGTCACTCAGGGGTCAGTGGTCACTCAGTGGTCACTCAGCGGTCACTCAGGGTCACTCAGTGGTCAGTGGTCACTCAGTGGTCAGTGGTCACTCAGTGGTCACTCAGGGGTCAGTGGTCACTCAGTGGTCAGTGGTCACTCGGCGGTCACTCCGCAGGCCGGAGCCAACATCAACGCCGTGGACAAGCAGCGCCGGGGATGGGTGGGTCAGTGCTGGTCAGGGATGGTCAGTGGTCACTCAGTGGTCACTCAGTGGTCAGTGGTCACTCAGTGGTCACTCAGTGGTCACTCAGGGGTCAGTGGTCACTCAGGGGTCACTCAGGGTCACTCAGTGGTCAGTGGTCACTCAGGGGTCAGTGGTCACTCCGCAGGCCGGAGCCAACATCAACGCCGTGGACAAGCAGCGCCGGACGCCGCTGATGGAGGCCGTGGCCAATGACCAGCTGGACACGGCGCGGTACCTGCTGCAGAGAGGGGGGTGCGCCTACAGCCAGGTGAGGGACACACCTGTGTGACGTCATCACGCACCTGCGTGATGTCATCATGCACCTGTGTGACGTCATCACGCACCTGTGACATCACATACACCTATGTGACGTCATCACACACCTGTGTGATGTCATCACGCACCTGTGTGACGTCATCACGCACCTGTGACATCACACACCTGTGTGACGTCATCACGCACCTG